TGACTGCACGGCGACCTTCATCAGTATAAAAGGCTTTCCATGTCAGACAGTCACTGCAGCTCCGATCAAACAGTTTGATCAGTATTCGAAAGTGTTTTTGATATGGTCCGGGGCACAATTCGTACTTTAACCTTTGCTATTCTTAGCACCATTACAATCATCACATGTGACAGTCTTTACTCCATATTCTATACGTTCAACTGCACAATAATTCAATTTTTGTTGACACATTTTGGTCAATATATGGGGGCAGTGGTTGAATACGATTGGGATCGTGGAAAGTGCTACCTAATGGAAACCAAAACACGCTGGCTTGGCAGAAAAATGAGTGGAATTTGGTGCTGAATTTGTGCTCATGCCCACATCACTCAGTTGCATGTTGTTTCAATCCTTGGTTAGCGTTCATTCGTATTGCGCGTTTCACATAGAAACCAATGAGTTTTTAGCATTCCCTGATGTTTCTACTGTGAATGGGAGCTGGCGCAGCAACCAGGTAGTGGGGTGTTTTGATGCGAGCCAGAAGAAAAGCACTTTTGTTGACGACGGACTTGCAGGGAGCCCTGCCCGATCGTGCCGGCATCATGCTTAGCAACAAGCGTCTTTTCGCCACTCCGAATGATTGTGTGCCAATTTATGTTAAAGCGGAGCGCAAGCATGCTTCTGTGGAAGTTTCGTGCATTCCAAAGCTTGTTGATGTGTCATTTGTGTAACGAATCAATGGCGTTCTTCCTCAGAAGTAGGAATGAATGCACTTATGTTTATGCAGTATGTACCACACGTGCCTAGCGACTGCATCGAGAGAGTGTTTACATCGAGTGAAAGAGAGCGAGAAAGAAAGGCGTAGATATATATAAAGCTGTATTCTCGTTGCTCAGTCACTCTGCTCTTCATTTCAGGATGTCGAAGGCACCCACTGTGAGTGAATTAGTAGGAACCGCTAATATTACTTTCAAGCCTGCCGTTACAGCACATGTTGACGATAGGGTATTTTATAGTTTTGCAGTTATTTTGTCTTTTTTCTTTGCGAGCTTACCGAAAATACTCAGTTCAGGTTCGTCCCGATTTTGACACTGATGTGTTGTTGTGGAAGCCTGGCAAGCTGTCGAAGAAGCAGCGTACAATGTCGATAGGTTCCAGTGATTCTGAAGAACTGCGTACCTCGTTGGATTCCACCCGCTCTAAGTAAGTTACCCGACGATAAGTTTTATTAGTGAACCGTTGCTCGTAATCATATGTATTTTTTAAGCTCAATCAGCTCACCTGTTGATGTCCCCCGTACGCGCAAGTTCAGTCTCAGTGAAATGATATTTGGCTCACCTTCGAATGGGTTCAGCTGGGGACAAAACAACGTCGTTGGTTCCCCAATTGATGAGAGAAGAGAATCCATTACCGAGGTTGGCTATTTCATAGATTTTGGCTTTTCAGATTGTGAATTCATCTGTTTTAGGATGCG